GGATAAGCACTAAACAATCTTGATGCAATTTCAAATTTAGGAACACCACTTAAAACCAAAGTCTTTCTTCCCAAGACAAGGAAATATCAGCTGTAATGGTGGGCAGGTCTCATGAGGTCTATGTCGACTATCAGAATCAAATGAAGGTTGCAGCAATAAATTGGTAGCAACAATTAATCCTTATCAATACTCTTTCTTATCACTTTATTACTTGTTAGAGGCACATGCACTAGCATTCTTTAGTATTTTTTTTTTTTTTTTTTTTTTGCAACAGATTGTTCAATTATAAGTTCTTAGAAATAAACCTAAGCTAAGCTTAAGCATCGTTATAAAATGTCCTTAATGATAATCAATAGTTCATGGGCTCAAATCCTAGGGAGCCTCCTTAGAAGGTAGAATGTTCAACTTTAACATCAAATAACATCACTAAATACACAATATACATATTCCATTAAGTGAAGGAAAATAAACAATCTCCTAACATAATTTTATTTATAAATCAAGTGAATGATCGTGATCCTCATGTAATAGGGGTATTAAAAGATCATGATTGACTTGTGAAAATAAGAATAACAGTGCTATATTAGATACCCTTCCAACCATGGTTATAAAAAGAATGAGACTTAAAACATATAGCTATCAGTAAGGGAAAGAGTAAATAAAATAAGAGGTTAATATGTTTCTCGTTTCTATGGCATCACCAAGCACGGAAGAAAGGTAATCCGAGACCAATCTTACTGGGAGAAGTAACTTGTCTGCTTTCAACAAGGGCCTATAATCAGGAGGGGCCTTATAACTTGGATTCAGTTTTAGTATTTCACCTGTATAATAATGATAAAAAAAATTCAATAGATAGCATTCAAAACTCAAATTGAGGGCATAATAGAAACAAGTCACTAACTAAGCATACCAATAACTTCACGTTTCTCAATCTCCAAAAGTTCGTTGTTTCGCACCTGTATATTATGATTAAGGCATATATCAAAATCATCCAGAGAAAAAACTGTCCCTGAAAGTAATACGAGCTCTGAATTTACCTCATTAGTTGCTTGGGATCCCGGGGAATCATCAACATTCTCAGCTTCTATTGCTGAATCTTGTGTCTCTGGAACCTCCAGGGTTCCAGACTTAAGGAGTTCCATGATTTGTTCCAATCGAGTCTGCTCAAAATATGTATAACCATAGAGGCAGTTATGTCACTAAGTAGCACCTGGATGGGAATGTTCCATGCGAAACAGTCACACAGAAGACTAACATTTTAGCACCAAATAAGAAAAAGGGGAAATTCAATGGTAGCAAATTGACAATATTCAACTGTATGAAAATGGTCAAAGATGGCTTCAAAAGAATAACATATCAATTCAAAGAAAAAAGAAAGAAATATGTGTTCAGAGAGGAAGTTAACAAATCTCCTTTTCTTCATCCATAGATGATCTTATTTCAAGCCATGTTGACTGGCATCTCAACATTAAGTTACTGGTAAAGCAATAACTGACCTAAATGATACAAATAACGCAAAACATCATCCCAAATATTAGAAGAGAAAAGGCTTAGGATTGAGATACGAGAAGGATTTTATCCCATATTATACCTTGAGATATGAGTAGGAATTTATCCAAGATACACAGTGATAGGGAAGTGTGACACTTCAAAAGCTCCACAAAATAAACAAAATAAACGCATTTTCTATTGACTTTGAGTTGTGCCTTTAACACGTGGCACGGATACATGGATACATAGAAAAGGAAAAGAGAGAGTGCTCCACAAATACCTGATAAGCTATGAGCCTCCCCCTTCTAACTGCAGAATCCTGTGTTAGATCAGGACCCCACTTTGTTTTTCTTTGAGACTGTTTCTCATTTTCTCCATTAGCTGATTCATTCCCTCCCAACTTCTTGTTCACTCGAAAGACGGGAACCAAAGATCCTGAAAGCTTGTTTTTTGGTATAACAAACCCAGTCTTCGCTGCAAACATGGAAACCTTTTGGCTTCCCATTGGTGCAGCAGATGAATTAGTTGCTCCAGACATCTTTGCATTTCCCGGTTCAATATGCGACGTCTTTTCAACCTCTGCACTCATATTGTTCTCCAATCACCTAAAAAACAAAAGATATATCCTATGTGAGAAAACCTCAAGTACAAATAAACTTGTAATTGCCATTTTACACCCTGTGTAAAGTATTCATGAACAATAGAACAAAGGAACGAGAAACTTGCATGACCCCGAGTATAATAATATATTATAACGGTTCAAAGAATGAAATGTGGGTAATAGGGAGGGGGTAACTATCCAGGGAAAAATTCTAGCTTGATGCTTAGAAAATTGATAAATGTAAATAGCTGAGCTTGCCATAAATATATATAACTTTCATGTGTTCTTCTCATCATGATGAGGAGAGAAAAACTCAGATCCCTGGTGGATACAACAAAAAACAAAACAAAACAAAACAGAACAAAAAATCCCAGATGTTTCCAACAAATAATGTCCTTAGCCAACTAAAGTGCAGTGATTGCCTATTTACCAGTCGAAGCTGAACCTGCCACTGCAAGGAAACTCGATTGTGCTTCGATTTACACTGAACAACCATTTTTGTCCGCATAGCACACACAATATTATAATCACATTGACGCATTCTCTAGAACACGATATTATTCCTGATCGTGATTCATGAAGTTAGATAATGATATCTTTACAAGAAAACACCTCCACCCCACAGATTGCAAATCTTAGCTGCTGGTCTCAAAGACAACAAAGTTCTAGCTCCCATTGAATTACAAGGCTTAATAAAGAATGATCATGCAAAACACAAATTTGTAGCTTATTTTGAGGTTGCACCGGCGACAAGGGGGCTAAGAATTTGTCAATTAGAAGTCCATTTTCTTTCCCTTGCCCCAAGTCGTCTCAAGAACCAAACAAAAACCAAACAGTAGAGAGATGAAAGTACCTGAACCGCTGCGTTCTTCAAAACTGAATCCACAATGAAGAATTGACGCACTTACGAGAGCACACAAAGTGCTCCGGGAAATTGCTTCAGTCAGAGCAGAACAGCGTTTCTCCCGTCCGGCACCTTTGTTCACAGCTCACTGGGCCGACCCGGTTAATATCCAACGTAAATAGACCCGGGCCTAATCCAAACCAAATGGGCCACATATCTTGGCCCAATAATATTCGGGCCTAAGGTCAATTGTGGCAAGTAGCTAGTTTATACCCGAGTATATTCGGTCAGCTCCCCAACCTAAGTAGCTCTTTAAAAATAAAAAATAATAATTAAAAAAAAAAAATCAAAATTTCCGCCGCAATTTATCTAATATTTTTTAAAATAAAAAAAAATATACAATTAAACAGAAACAGTATAACATCTCAACCCTACCTCTAGCTAATACCTGTTTTGTCTCGTAATGTATCGCAGTCAATCTCATGATTTTAAAATGTATCTATTCGGGAGAAGTTTCTACACCCTTATAAATAATGTTTCGTTCTCCTCTCCAATCGATGTGGGATCTCACGAAAAAAATATATATTATAATTGATAGCTCATAAATAAATAAAAATAAAATAATAATAAGTTATTATATAGTTGTAGACAAAAAAATATTTGAATTTTGGTAAGGGTATAGTTGTAGGTTATTAAAATTGGAATTAATTTTGGGTAGGACATTAGTCACTTGCCGGCAGTTCGGGTGGACAAACAGGGTGGCGTGAATGACCGACATTATGAGCATAGACACGCTTGTCGGATAAATCGGTATTATTACGTACAAAAAAAACATTAATTCCAAACAAAAATATGTGTTTAAAATAAGAAGTTCAAAATAAAATTTTAAATTCAAATAATTATCAAATTTATTGATAAGAAGTAAGTTGTGGCTCGGTTTTCTTTCTCTCTCTTATTTAATGGCTCAATTTTTCACGTGATTCAATTTTACTCCTAATATAAAGTTGTCGTTTGTCAATTATCATAAAATTACTTATTTTCAATCCGATAATTAAAAGATCAATTTTTTAAAACAACAAATATATTAGAAATCAAAATAGGAAACTTTGTGATAATTTAGTAACTTCTTATTAATTGCAAGACTACATCTAAGGTTGTTGCACGTTGCAACATGTACGTATGAGAGGTCTCTTACGCATATATTGTGGCTACCTAATTTACCTACCTGTATGGCAAACATTTAATGATATATATAGTTGTGTTTAATAAATATAAATTTTAAAAAATATTGAATAAATCAATAATTCAGATAAAACTGTGAACTTTCGTCCTTAAATTTTAATAATTTTACTAACTAAAAGTCATTTTTACATTTTTGTTTTTGTATAATAAATTAGTTTAATTTTTACATACTTTTTTGTAAATCTTACCTGTCCAAGTAATTTTAATATGATGCATTTATTATATTATATAGGCGTTAGATTATGATAACACAATAGAGACGTATTAATGCATCTTTGAAAAGCGTACAAAATTTTAAATTTTGAGATAATAGATTAAAAAACATAAATTTAAAAATAATAATTATTTATATAAAATTATAAAAAATGTTATTCTCCCTATTATATGAAATTGTAAACCGTTAAAAAGAGATTACTTAAAAGCCTAATATTATGAAGAAAAAAAAAATCATGTTGGTAACAATATTATTAAATTAACTGTGTCAAATATATCTCTTAACTTTAAAAAGTGAATTAAATATAGAAACGTAGAATCTCGTGTGAATCAGCAAGGACTACCTTACAGGACTAAATATTCCTGTGACAAATAGTGAAGTAGTACCGTAGGGAAGGGTAAAAAGAACCCCACCTAAAATAAAACATAAAACCGTAAGTTTCCAATCAGAGGGAAAAGACGAGGACTCTGACCGTGCGAGTAAATAAGAATTGAAGCCAATATAATTTAATAATTATATGTATTTTTTAAAAAATTAAAGTTATAAGTAATGAATGATAAGATAATCATGAAGGTAACGAGTGGTCACAATAAGTGCTAAACCAATCACTACCACCCACTCTCTTTAATTCCCATTCACCATAAAAACCCACTGCCCCTTCTCCCCGCCCACTCCGCCCAATTCCCAGTGCCACCGCTCCCTCCAAAGCAATTATGACCTCCAAATCGCCTTCAACTAATTTGGCTATGTCATGCGCCCTGGCGCTGCTCTTCCTGGGCTTGGTGACCTCAAACGTAGACCAGGACAGAGCCGAGTGCACAGACCAAGTGGTCGGGCTAGCGACTTGCCTGCCGTACGTGGGCGGCGAGGCGAAAGCGCCTACACCCGACTGCTGCAGCGGCCTCAGGCTTGTGGTTCAAAAGAGCATGAAATGTCTCTGCGTGCTGATAAAGGACCGTAATGACCCCACCCTGGCACTCAAAGTGAACCTTACGCTCGCTCTTGGACTACCTAATGTATGCCACACCCCGGCCAATATAACAGATTGTATCGGTAATTGATTCGTCCGTGATTCATATGTCGTATCATTATTGATGTAATCTGTGTGACGTTAATTGTTGGAGTATGTGAACTACAGGGCTTCTCCATCTGCCGCCCAACTCCGCAGAAGCCAAGGATTTTTTGGGGCTGAGCGCCAAGGGAGCAAACGTTACATCTGCTCCCGCGGGTAATGATACTTATTAATTTCTTTTAAAAAAAACGTAGGTAATTAGAGGTATTTCTATTTGATCTTGACATTAATTAATCGTTAATGTACGCTAATTAGTCTAACGAAACATGTTTTAATTTGTTGCAGCGAGTAGTAATCCCACAGAAAAGCCTGACGTAAAAAATGACGGTGGAATGAGAAAACAATGGCTGGGGGTCGAGATTTTTATTTCATGTATTGTTCTATTCACTTCCATTTGGTAGTGTACCATTTTTAGTTCTCTCAAACTCTCCGGAAATAAAATGTTTCATTAATTAATCACGTGATAATGGGATTATTGTCGATATAGTTCATATTGGTGGCTCGTTTTTTTTTTTTTTGTTATTGTTATAAAATAAATATTTTTTAATTTTATCGAAAAGTTTGAAGAACCATAGTAAAGTTTATAGGTGTTCTCGAGATAAATTAATAACAGTATTTTTTTTTTAAGTTCAAGAGTACTTTCATAGCAGCCCACCAAACCCATCATTAGTAAATAGTCTACTTTGGCCTCTTATGTATAGCCATCAGCCTTAAAAATACAGAGGTTTTAAAACACAGAGGTTTCAAGGAATGCTTTATTCCCCTCCTCTCTCTCTCGCCTGAAATCTCACAATCCATCTCTTTTGGGGGCTCAATGTCTTTCCTCGCACACCGCCGGGCATCTGACTTTGATACAATTTGTAAAAGTCCAAGTCCACCACCAGCAAAAATTGTCAGCTTGGCTTGTTACATATTGTCGTCAACCTCACAATTTTAAAATGCGTGTATTAGGGATCTCACATATTTTATTAATTTAACCTAATTCTATTGTTATTACATAATATTTTTTTTATTATATTGGTATAATTTTTAAAACAGAATAATCGACGACTCTGTGATATGATATATGATGATATTTCTAAAGATAGCATATAGTCTTTAAAATATTAATTCAATCAATCAAACATTATATAACACGACAAATTTGAATCGAAGAAATTGTGTTTCTAAAGATTGCTTGTGATCTTAAAAAGCTTCCTCAATCAATCAAATATTATATAACACAACAAACTAGCAGACAATTCGCCATTATTATTATTATTATTATTATTTTCATTCACAAAATTTTGTATGATTATATTGGAAGGGGCGAATAGAAAAATAATAAAATTAAATGATAAATTTAATTTTTACATCGTAATTTCAATAATTACATGTGAAATGTAAGATTTAAATATTATATTTCTCCTAATTTTAATTAATGGATTGAGGTAAGTCGAGATTTAATTTAATTTTTTTGATTTAAATTATTATAGGGATAATTACAAAATATTTAAAATTGGGATCCAATAATAATTTAAATTTAATCTATTTAATTATACCTCCATATTACAGGCTTTCAAACGGGGATTCCGCTAAAATCCAATTCGAGAGGGATAAGGCTGATTAGCCGCGTAACAATGACAAGATTTTTAGCTAAACATAGTCAATCTTGATCAACAACAATCCGTACACCGCACCAAATCGATTGCTCGCTCGAACCCCTCTTCTCGAAGTTCAACAATCTTTCATTTCTGCCTTCTCCAAGAACACAGCCATGGCGCCGACCCCTAAATCTCATCTGGGTGTAGTCTTTTTCACCTTCATCGCCTTCTTGGCTTCGATTCCTGAGCTTGCTGTGGCCGGATCGGATGCTCCCACTGTCTATGATATTCTCCCCCAATATGGGCTTCCGAGTGGCCTCTTACCTGACTCTGTCGTCGATTACTCCCTCTCTTCCGATGGTCAATTTGTTGTTCATTTGGCCAAACCCTGTTATATCAACTTCGATTACTTGGTTTATTACGACAAGACCATTACTGGGAAGCTTAAATACGGCTCCATCATTGATCTCGACGGTATCGAGGTTCGGAAATTCTTGATGTGGCTCGATGTGAAGGAAATCAGAGTCGATTTGCCGCCTTCTGATAACATCTACTTCCAAGTTGGATTTATCAATAAGAAGCTCGACATCGATCAGTTTAAGACCGTTCATTCATGCCGGGACGATGGTTTGGGCTATTGTCTTGACTCCTGGAAACGGATTCTTGAGGTATATTCTTAGCCGCCATTCGCTATTGTCAAATCTTTCCTGCTTTGGATTATCTACTTTCGAATCTTGTTTAACTCATGGGTATCTGTTTGTAATCACTCTGGTTTGTTCGTGATTAGAACTCTTTGATTTTGGTACTTTTTACTGTTCTTCCATTTTATGCAGTAAAATTTGTTCAAGATGTTTGATAGATTCTTTGAACCTGAGAGAAATCTTGCATTTAAAACACGATGGTGTGTATGAACTCGATTGTTAAATGAAACCAGTTCAAGAGAATTTAGACCTTTGTTCTGTCAAAATTTATGTTTAGTACCCCACATCGAATATTTCTTTTCAAGCGTTGATTTTTGGTGAGCGCATCATTCTGTGTCTTGAAGTTATCATCTTGTTGGGCAGCCTTTGTCATGACGTGATCAGGATTTTTTTTTGGTAGAAAATTGTTTGCTTATCTTTTTAATTAGGTAGTGAACGAATTTATTGACCAAAACACAAACGATATACAAGAAGGAGAAGGAATAACTCCAAATGGTCAAGGGAATTACGAAAAGGACTTCCATCCAAGGGAAAATTGTTTGTCATTCAGTGATGGCTTTGATCCAATTTTATAGAACCAAACCATTTTGAAGCATTTCAGTGTCTATATCCCTTTTGAATTCCTTTGCTATAAGAAAATTGAACCTCTGAACAATAATCTGAACCTTGAGGAGCCTCGTCTTTCGCTCTTCTCAGTTCTCTGAAATGTTCTGAGATAACGGTCAGTGTTTAATTAGTTTTTGACCTTCATATGAAGAAAATGAGGAATATGAACTCAAATTGGCTGATCTTGGCTCTGTCCAGGTTGATTCAATTAAGTTTCGGCGAGTTGCATTTGTTTGTGGTATTAGAACCGGTAATTCCACACCTTTATCGAGTTTAAATTATATTTCATAGCCATTAGGCTGCAACTGTCATATATTGTTATTCAGGACTTGTCACAACTTCAGTGAACAGGTGATCAGATTAAGCTAGACTGCCTTCATTTTGTCTCCTCTATTCTGTTAATGTTATTGTTTCAAATTCTGCTGATGTGATCTTCCAATGAAATGGCCATTTTGGTCGATCGATAATCTAATATGCTAGTTTCAATGAATCTCGTTCTTTAAATTTCATAGCTGCTTGGATTTGGATCAACTCATTGCACATGGCCACTCTGTTTCTCTCACTTATTGCTTGATCACATCGAAACTTCTCGAACATGTTGCTGTTAATTTATATTGGTCTTTGGCATTAGCTAGCTTATCCAGGGGGAATTGTGCAAGATATGCTCAATTACAGGGTTGCTTTGTCTTTTAAGCGCCAATATGCTTCACTAGGTTCAAAAAGCTTACTCACTTGTTGCAAATAAGTTAAAAGAATGTTAGAAAGTGAGTATGGTTGGAGGGTGATTCTATCATGCTAATACTTTTTCATTGGTGATCACAGCTCCCAACTCCAGTTGACGACGTCCCGATGCTAGTCACCGAGTAGCCTCTTTGCCCCTTGTCCGAGTTTTTGGCCTTCTTGCTGCATTATCTAAATGATCAGAAGAAGAAGTTTAGTAGTTTTCGGTATGTGGTCTCAGTTTAGACGGCAAAATATGAATGTCTATCTTGGTAGACCTATGATGTAAGCCACTATGATGGTATGTTAAATATTAGGTGAGTCTTGTGTTTGATCCTCAGAAAAAGTGCCTAAAACATTGGCATTTGAGGAACTATAAACTGAATGGATATGAATGAGATGTGTATTAAATAGTATGAATTTGCTCACGTTTTATACTATGTTGCTGCTTACTCGTTGAATATGATTAAAGATCACCAAAGAATCTCTTTTCTTTTTCAATTGTCTAATGTTTCTTAGATTCTCTGAATTGTAGTCTTGAAATAGTTCATGGTGTTTGGTTGTGTTGCATGTTTCATCTTTATGGAGAATGAGATTTCTTTCAGATTCAATGGAATGGGGAATTATTTGACGATATTGGCTTATGTTTCATAAAGTCTTCTATTCAAGTCTCCATTAGTATCTAAATATTAGATGAATTCGTATTCGACCCAAACGGTAAGGATTATGTTGTGTTAGATCTTTTTCGATTTGGGTTAGGTTGAATTTGTGAGAAATCAAATATTAAGTTCGGTTCACCTAGGTCACTAATCCAACTAATATAAAATTTTTAGTTAGTCCCAAAATTTTCAGTCGGTGAAGTTAGGGTGGTGATCCATTCGACGTCGAGTTAGGTGTCAACCCAACTCCATTGATAGCGGATCACCAACAAAAAGAAAGAAAGATCGATAAAAGAATAAGAACCTTTGTATTTATTGGTAAGACGGTCATAAAATAGAATTTTCTCGAAACTTAAAAAAGGGAAAAGAAAGTCATCATGTCATCGAACCGAACAAACAATTAAATTATAATAAAAATTATAGCATGTGGTTAATGTTGAGCAATGTAAAAGAATGGCATAAAAATAAGAAAAGGGTTATCAAATCATGTCTGGAATATCTCACTTTTCCAGTCACTAAGCTTTACCTTTCATCATCTTGCCTATAAAACGCACCTCCGTTGCCATTTCCACTCCCAAGCAGCTCAGCCACCCATTTCTCCCTCAAAATCAAAGCCAATTGCTGCAATGGAAAGCTACAGAGACATTTTCATTCAAGTGCAGACCACCAACAAGGACCAAACTTGCCCCAGAAGGAAGTTAATGGCGACGACGACGGAGAAGGACACGAAAGACGACATCAATGAAAGAGCTGAAGCTTTTATCAGCAACTTCCATAATCAGCTCAACCGTCGTCTCTGGGAGACGATCCCTCAAGCAAAGATCTGAACCATATCATCTTGGCTTCCTTGCAATGGCAACAAGTTCCTGGAGTTGCTTTGTTCCTTTTAATCTCCTTTGATTGATCATCATTTCACAAGTAAAACCAGAAACCAACTAATCGTGACGACCCGTAAATCGAATGTTGTTTATATTCTAATGAATTGTTTATATTCACAAGGCATCTCTAAGATTACATAGTAATAGCATAAGATCCCCCACAAAATAAACAAACTAGTCTGAGACTGATTGATTGATGGACAAGATTTACTTACAAGTATTTGCTTTCTGTTCATGAATGTAATGAAATGGTCTCAGAACTCTAAGCCAAAAGCAAATTCTAGAACTAATCCCTCTTCTCATGCCTGGAGCACTTGACAATGCACAATATGACTCTTCAACCCGCTTCGCCCAGCTATGCTCGACAATAAATTTGTAACTAACGTCCTCAGGGGACCTTTCCCAGCAATATTTTCCCATAGGTGAGGATTGCTCTCGACACTTTTATCCAGACTCGAAACGTCGACAAGGCTGATACTCATGTTGTTGCGTATAATGCAAAGCTTCCCATTAAGCGAAACGAGCGCAGCAGCCTCCAGAGCATGAGAGCTTCCAAGATGGAGCTTGCTATCCATGAATTTGTTCCATGAGTCTGTTGTACTATCATAAACCCTTAGCTTGCATCCATCACTGCAATCCAAGGCATAAAGTTGTCCATTCAAAGAAATACTTGGGTTTCGCCAGCCAGCGATCATACCATCACTAACCGATGTCCAAGTATTAGTTTCGGGAGAATAGGCTTCGCTCATGACCTCTCTGCGAGCTCCGAGTCCTTTAAGGAACCACAACCCGTCATGAACTACACCAATTAATGGCACCATAGCTGAGCTCATATCTGAAATAAAGCTCCATTTGTTCTTGTTGGGATCATAAACTTCAGCAGAACGAAGAGTTCTCTGGATCCCCTCACATTCACCGCCAGCAACATAAAGGCAGTTGTTTATAACACAAGAACCGAAACAATGACGTTTTCGAAGCATATCAGGTGCTCTATGCCATTTGTTTGTACGGGCGCTGTAGAAAATCACGCGCCTCATCGATCCCCTTATCGGATCTTTCCCTCCAAATAAGTATAGGTGGCAACCGCTAAGAACAGCACAGCCAAAACCAAGAGCCTCAGAGTATTCGACGGGAAGGGGTGGAAGTGATTGCCAAAGCTGGTAGGTCGGATCAAAAGCATGCCATGAGATCCTTCGATCACGGTCTCTTTTGATAACATAGACCCACTCATCTGCCATGCCAAGACTTTTCCTTAGAGAATAATAAAAGTTTCCCATCAGAAGTCGATACCATCTCTTGCAAACAAGGCGGAGTTTCCTATGTTCCACTCGAGGGACTCGAATCAGACAAGCAATGGCAAGATCGTCTGGAAGGCCTGGTAGAAGCGGAGGCTGGACTCGGGTCCTTTCTCTCCGTGAAGTTTTACTTCTATGCGCATTTGGATTAATATCAGGCTGGATACATATTTTTGAGCCAGGGACGAATTTTCTAGCTCCAACAACTGTTTTCAAGCCTGAGTCTACTTTGCAATAGCATGACACAGAATCAACCTACAACATATTTCCAGTTAGATGCAAAAATTTACATAACAACTAGCCAAAAACGACAAACGAAGACAAAGATAACCCATACGAAAACCAGTGGATCGTCTATGACATTCAGTTCGAAGTCCTAAGTTTTGCCCCTATATTTGGATAGTTGGTATTATGTGTCCAAGTATTCTCGAAAGGACAGTACGACATCCGAGGATTACACCGCAACTTCAATCTTTAGTTCAATAGGACTAAAGGGCACAGCTCCTATGGTGGCCTGGCTGCATCAAGGGAATTCAGAACCAACCACGCCGTGAGGAAGACCATAACAAACTGTACTATGTTAAAAGGTTTGAGCACATCACATCACTTCCTCCAAGATGCGCATACTCGTAAAAATCAACGGGAAACAACGAAAAGTCTCACTCAATATACACCTACCAGAGGATATATTATATTAAATTTATCTTAGGAAGCTTAATGTAACAAATATTGTCCTCTTTGGACTTTCTCTCTCGAGTTTCACCTCAAGGTTTTTAAAACGCGTCTGCTAGGGAGAGGTTTCCACACCCTTCTAAAGAAGGCGTCGCTCTCTTCTCCAACTAATGTGGGATCTCACACTAATCCGGCATATTCTTAGTCGAATCAATTCGCCTATCAGTGAATCTTTAAGAATCAACATGGATCTAACACTCTGTGCAACTCGAATCTGCAGCGACATTTTGTTCATATTTCATAACCCTCATAAGTTCCTCCAAGATGCAGGTTCAAAGGAAGTAATGGAATAAAACCAGAACAATTTGTTCCAAAACAAACCCAAAATCCCATGAAAAACTTAACTAGAGTTTACTCTAACACTAAGCATCGTTGTGAACATACTTGGAATCAATTCTGAAAGAATATTGACAACAAAATCCAGCATTCAGAACGCAAAAAAGCAAATCTCAGAAGAATAATTAGAATATTCAACAGAATGCTGATGAAATAAGCCATGAATTGGGCACAATCCAGGGAACCTAAAAAAATCCACCGCAGAAAACCCCAATAATCGAAGTAAGATACGAGAATCATCGCAGACGAATCAAACTTCAAATTCTTTCTCAAACTACAGTGCATTAGCTAAAACCCACTACGATTTCACTAGAAATTCAGGAAGTAAAACCAGTAAAGAAGAAATGCGAGGAGTAGCGGGGCGAAGAAAAGCACTCGTAATCGAAATTACCCAGAAGCATTTCCAGAGATCACTTATTTGGCAGTAAATTAAGTGTAAATTTGGATTCAACTAACCAGTGGAGCTTGAATTCGAAATCCCCTTGGAGCACTTGAAGATTGTTCAACCGATGCGTTCATTTCGAAAGCAAAGAACCATATATTAAATTTGTAGGCGCACCCAGCATCCAAAGCGAGGTTAAAAGAGGCCAAGTAGAGTCGGATCACGAACCCTTTGAGCTAAAAACTTGAACCCTTGAAAAATCTGATCTAACAGAAGGAATCAACCCCAATAACCGCTTAGAAGGACTATAAAGCGTGAGAAAAAGGGAACCCAGATTCTCTCTTTCTCTCTCCTGCGCGCAAACAAAACCGCAGAGAGAAGCAGTCCACTCTCCTCTCCCTTCTTCTCTGGTAGCTAAACTAAAAAGAAACAATTACATGCTACAGATGGGACGCTGTGCTACACCCAAATACTGATTTTTTCTTTTTTTCTTTTTTTTTTTTTCTCTCCAAGCGAATATAAACAAAATTTATGGACAGCACCTAAAGTTCCATTGTTTAATTAAGTTTTTTGAAGTCTGACAAAAAGACAAGGAACTCTAATGAGAAGGGTCCTCTTTGTTGTTACCATTAATGGGTTTAATGGGTCAAAACCCAATTTTTAGGGGGAAGAGAGAGACAAGTCAATGGAACCCTCCCTCTCTTACCCATTTCACAAATCCCTTTTAGCTTTTTTTTTTCTGTTTGAATAATTATTTTCCAGAGAGAAAGTGAGTTGAAGCAGTAAACAGAAGACAATAATAATAGCCTTATTAACCAATATCAACACTACAATGATTGAGTTTTCTGCATTTTCCGATGCTATAATGATTCTACTTTCTTTCTTTCTTTCTTTTTTAAGTTCTATAAAATGGAAGATTTGAACTTAAGGTGGGTTGAAAGTAGATCATTTATTTTAGCACTGTCTTTCTTTTTTGCTTTATCTTTGAAATCAATGTAGAAAACAAAACAAAACAAGTCTTCACAAGTTGACGAACTTAGCTTTCATTGCAATTTGTTTTATTGTGTTTCAAAGTTAGAAATTTTTTTATGAAGGGTAAAGGAGAAATTGGATCATAAAGATAAGCACACGATACAAGAAAACCAAAGATAAGATGATGCAAAGAAAATACAACGTTCAGACCTAAACAAACTAAACAACTACCACCTAACAAAAGTGAGAAGAGAAGCTTGGGTCTATGGTTGGTCGGGGTATTCTCCTAGCCTGTTCCTTGTCCATATGATCCTAGTCTAGTCCGATATGGTTATCTTTTGACCCAATACGAAAAGTAGTCGACAAAAATTCTGAGAGTCATATAACTCTTTTCTCGTGAAGAAGGTAAGCTCTCCCCAATTATATGATAGATTTAGTATGACAAAATAGGAGAATTGAAACATTAGATCAAATCGAGTACATAATCTGGAGAGATGAAATAAAACGTGTAAGAGCGGAGATCATACAAGTTCAATATATGAAATTCAGTATATTTGTACAACTGCCCCCAACTGCCATTTAAATTTGCAACCATTGTTACTGATATAAGGAAAAGGAAACGAATATAAAGCTTTCACTGGAATTCCAATTTTCTTTCTTCTCAAAGATTGAAGTTTCATTGCCTTTTCTAGAACGAACAGACCCAATAATACCACTAGAACGAACGAAATAATAATCAATAATTCTCATGAATTTCCAAACAGTAGCGCCTGATCGAACACTAAATCACAGATAAACAACTTAAAACCTACTAACGAGGCACAGAGAGGGCATCTACTCACTCGAATATGGATTGAACTAAAGTGACAACACTGGGAAATAATCAAAAAGCTAAAATGTATACAACAGTTTCATTTCTTTGAAGTATGTGAAAGAAAACTTGACCCTACAAACCTGGTTTCTACGTTCTGAAATGATAAGGCCCTAACAGAAGGTTTCAAATTTATTTCGGGTCAACAACAAAATATTACAAAAACTATGAAATTCTTCAGAAGGGGGTTAGAAGAAGATAGCCCCAGAAAATCGAGGGATGCCCCAGCAAACTGGGTTTTAAAGAGCTTCGCCTAAGCGAAGAAAAAGCACAATGCGGCCCAACGGTAAAGCCCTCCTCAAGATCTCTCTACCCTCCACCATATTCTAACCGGTAAGATACGAGCAAAAAGAACAAAGTAATCCTACTTTGTTAGTACCATCTTAACCACCACCTAAGAAACACTGCACACAACTCTACATTCCTAATGGGTCCAAAAATGGACGCGTTTTCTCCTTTACCCCCATAATGACAATAAGTTTTGACAATAATCACTTTTAACACCAATAGTCGAAACAAAAAAAAAAAAAAAAAAACAA